CCGCCCTCCACTTATTAAAAAAAAAATGTCACCGTGTGATTATGAAGCAAAATGTTTGGAGGAAGCCGTACGTGCTGCTCAAATAGGAAGCCGACATGCGCTGCTTCAAGTAAGACTGTCTCGTGTTTCCCTTTTTGGAACACCCCGGAGATCTCCCAAGAACTTCTGACATGAAATCATGTCATGGCAAGGTTCCCGTGCATGGAAGTGACCCTGCTTGTGTTTCTTGCCGAAAGTATTGACATGGACCGCAAGGATGGCCAACCCCCACCTTAAGTCGGTTGCAGAGTTTGCATTGCATCGGCGACAGTAAGAATGAGTTCAAAAGCACGGACCATCATCAAAAGCAAAAGCCCTAAACCCCAACCCCTTCTGGCCTTTCTAAGCGGACAATCGCTTCGTCCACGCGCCCTCGCATAGGCTTGCCTTCTCCAGGCATGTGAGAATCGGGTCGCCCACTCCAAATAACATAACAAATTTTCAGAAGCTTTCAGCCACCGATGTGCATCTTGAACCCGACGCCCAAGGTTGACCCCTGAGCCTTCAGGTCGAAGAACCTCCTCCTCCAGGGAGCTGTCGTCCAGCAAATCCATTAATCGCTCCTGCATGGCATGGGGATGATGCTTTGCAGGAACAGGTTGCCGGTGTGGCTGTGCTTGGAACCGATTTCTGCTAGCGGGAGGGTGAATCATGCTTGGCTTCTTTGAGCCAATATTGTTGACCTGAAGCAATCTGAGCGTTGCTGTTCTTCCACTACCGTGGAAGGCGAACCGGAGCCAGGGTCGGTCTAAGCTTCACAGGTGTATGTTGGACTGCGCAGCCTGGAATTCAGGCCGCGCAGTGCCAATGTGCAGCCATATGTTGGAATGGTCGGAATGCTCAGGAATACAGCACCAACCTTGCAAATTGAACAGATGTCCAGCTGCGGAATCCATCAAAGGCTTTTCATGACTGCAGGCAGCTCCATCTTCCAAAGCTCTGTTCGGCCTCGCAGATCTCAATTTGCATCAAGAAAATTCTAGCTACAACAACGCATTGGAGTCGAAGGCCTGTGTGGCTCTTCCCGAGCAGGAAGACTGTCGTCCCGGCTGTACAAAGGCCCTGCCACCTGTGAAGGCACTGCAAAGTTGGATAGGGCTCGTTGATGCTCGCTTGCAGACTACGGCATACTGTGGCAGTGCCTCAGACCAAGCTCACTGCGCAGGTCGAAGGACCAATCTGCAAATAGCGTTACAAGTTACCACTGATTCCTCAGTCCATGCCATTCTGTGCCTGCTGGAAGCCAGGGTTCTGCAGGCCCTGCTGGCATCCACGCATGGAGAACTCCTGCAGAAACGTAGCATCGTCTCGGTCCAAATGACTCAACCTGATCGATGCTGGCTTCAAACTCAAGGTCGGTCCTAGGTCGCTAAGAGCAACCAAGCCCCCATCCTCGCACGAAAGCAGAACAATGATCCGTCCACCGGCAAAGCCTCCTGCATCCTGCCTCCAATGTGTCCATCCACTGCTGGTTCCTGGACATTTTCTGGCTGAGCTCCTTGACAGGGACCTTAGTCTCCCAGCTGTGAGTCATGGCGCAAATGCCAGCTGTGATAATTTCAGAGGCCAACGAACTCTTGAGAACTTCCATCTGCCCCTGCAGAGCTGCAAGAAGACTCACGATTATTTGTTTGCAGCTTGGCTGAAGTGGCCTGTTTCTGGAACGCGCTGCAGAAAAGCGGGACCTGCTGATGCCTTAGAACATCTTAAAACATTTTGCAAGGTTGCATGCAAGAGCGATTCTGTGCTGAAGTTTGTCACTGGATCCTAAGCTGCGAGCATCGATGGTCCTCTTTGCCCAAAGTCCGGATGTGTCACTGGAGGCTGCCAGTTGCCAGGGTCCGCCGTGCAAGTAGAGCCTGCACATGCGGCACCACCAGGCCACCCCACAAACCCACAGAAGTGCAGCCAAATATGAGCAAATTTTGCGGTATCAGCATAGCTGGGTTCAATACGAAAGCTTGATTTCTGTGGCTTTGAGCATGTACAGTAAGCACTCTGACCACCACTTTGCTCGATCTATGTCGATCTGAGCCCAGAACTCTTTCTGGGAGTGGGCATCGCAGAGCAAGACGCTGCCATTGTCTCCCACGAGCAATGTGGAGCAGGCCTTCGACAGCCGTTTCCCAAATGTGGGATGCAGACTAACAAAATTCTAGTAGTCTGTACATTGAATGAGTCTCTGCTTTATACAATCAAAGCATAATCGCTCTATAATGCCCGCCTTCTTGCTGCTCAGATCAAGGCATTGCAAGGAAATTCCGCGCAAACCAGACGCATGAAACCTTTGCTCGGACAGCATTTCGCTTTGAATAGGTGCTGTCCATCCTTGCATATGTGTTGGGGGGTCGCAGCTCAAGAGCCGCAAGCATCCAAACTAAAACGTATCCTCCAATGCGAAAGCTCTAAATTATGGATGCAGGCCACCGTGGAGCTTTCGAAAGGCAGTTTGCCTGTGGCGTGCACTGGCGAAAGCCAAGCGGGAGCTCTCAAAGAGCAGGGCTTTACTGCAAACCATGTCAAGCATGGCAAAGCATAGCAGGAAGGGGACACCCGCTGTCAGCCTCCTGGGGACTTCCGCGGAGGGTCTGAGTGTGATTGCCGAACATTTGATGAACCTTGGGCTTGCATGGGGAGATCGCACAAGGTATTGCTGAAGGTGTGTTCGTCACGATCGAGGTATGCTAAGCCCATCGCCGCATACTTCTCTGCAAGCCAGAATGTGGGCTGCGCTCCGTCCAAGTGACAGGATATGCCTGGCAGCAATGCAGACAGATTGACTTTGCCAGCTGCGGACAGCGACGCAGGCGGTCTGCCTTGGGGCTCGAAGAATTGAGGCCATGGTCCATCAAGGAACAGCTCCAACCGCGGGTGTTGCGCAGGCTTCGGCTGCGGTGGCTTCCTTGAAGAATCTTGAAAAGAAGGCGTGAGCTCAAGCCATGCCCCAACCAAACCCTCCAAAATGTCCCTTTTTCGAATGCATTTGAAGAAGAAGTCAAAGCAGAAGGCCGCAGGCCATCAGTTTGGACATATGCAGACCAGCAGCAGAATGTCGACTACATCTGTCAACAACCGCAGCACCGTCCATGTAAATCCTGCGCCTGAGCACGCATGGCGATGTCATGGCTTTCCCATGGCGATTCCGCAAGAGAGCTCATACAGTGCAAGCCTGGGCACACCAGGCAGCTATCAGTACAAGACTTCCTTGCTGAATAGTACTCCAGGGAAGACGTCCAGGCTCCTTCTGCCTGCCAAGCCCAGACAAACTTGCTGAGCACTCTGCATGAACAGTTCACGCGCAGCCTGTCGGTTCGTTCACTGCGAGTATCTGGCAAGCGATGCGGGTGGAAGCCTCCAGCCGCTGCCTGCTGAGCTGCACGAGCGCGAGGGAAAATCAAGGATCCAAACATCACATGACAAATTGAACAAAAAACAGTTGCAATTTGCCAGCAAAATGTAGCTGCAGCAGTTTGCCAACAAGCGATGGCCGCCCCTACCTGTCCTCACCGCATCTACCTTCCCAGCTCAACTGTCCAACAAACCAGCCTGCCTTCGGTCATTGCAAGCCGCTTCTACTTATTTGGAATGGCACTCAGATTGGCCGTCAGGTCCCCTGCATAAGTCTGCATTTCAACTTCCGCCTGCACTATAGACTTTTCTGCTGCTTTCCAGCCGGCCCGCCGGCCACCGGCCACCGGCCAC